TCCTCACCTTACAATTGTTACTAAACCTCTGTCATTAGGCTTCTCACCTCAAAACACCCCGGGCCCCCCGGCACATGGAGCACTGGTAAAGATGAACAATGGCCTTTTTGTTGCTGAGTCCCATCCAATGGTACTTTGCTGTCCTATGTCATTTGGCCTCCCCCACAGGATACAACTAGTCACAATTCCTCATTTCTCACTCTCTTTTTGGTTCACATGACATTATTCTTTTTGGGTAATCCTCCCAACTCTCTGGCCTTTCCTTTAGGCACTCCCCGCACCCTAAGACTACGGCATTAGCTCTCTGCTATTCTCACTCCACTGTGTACTTTTAGTTTTCTATTTGTTTACTGGGACAGTCTCATTCTGTCATCCAGGATGGAGTGCAATGGTGCCATCTCAGCTCACTGCAACCTCCGCCTCATGGGTTCAAGCGATTCTCCTACCTCAGCCTGCCGAGTAGCTGGGATTACAAGCGCATGCTATGTCACCCAGCTAATTTTTCTATTTTTAGTAAAGATGGGGTTTCACCATGTTTTCCAGGCTGGTCTCAAACTCCTGACCTCAGGTAATCTGCCCACCATGGCATCCCAAAGTGCTGAGGTTACAGGCGTGAGCCACCATGCATGGCTAACTGTGCAGTTTCATCTTGGACAATCTCATCGATTCCCACAGCTTCTTCTACCACTGATTTTCTGTTGACCTTCCATTGACAACACCAGTCAGGAGCACGTCTCCAGGCTCCAGGCTCCAAACCTGTCTCTTTAATCATCCAGTAGACATCTCCACATGCATCATGAAATCAACTAATCCAAAACTAAACTCCACCCATCCCAATACATGCTTGTCCTTTCATAGGTCCTACATCAGCAAAAGAGACTAAAATCTACAGCCAAATACCTGAGAGGCCTCCAACACTCTTCTAACCCTTTTCACCAGCGTCATTCAGCCACAAATTCTTTAAGATGCCTCACATTTGTCATATTTCTCCATCTCTACATACCATCACCAGTTCCCCAGTAGATTATTATACCTTATCTTTGGCTACACTCAGCATTTCCATGTGTTCCTTTCTGATTAGACCTTGGGCAAACCTGCCACAACTTGGGCATCATAGTTGCCATGGAACCTCTCTAATTCTTGCTTCTCCTCAGTTTGGGTACACCTCTGTATCTTCACAGCATCCCAAACCTCTCATTCAATACTAAAATGGTCTGTTGACTTCTGGATTCTCAACTAGACTTTCAACTTGAAGACAGAAATGTACCTTTCTCATCTTTATAAATCCCAGGGCCTGAAATACAAGCAGACTCTTAGTAAATGATGTTATGAAAGAGATCAGGTTATGGCTGGAGAAGAAGTAGAAATTTCCAAGGTAGGGAGACAAGGAAGAAAGGAGGCCATTCACAGGGCAGGAATAGTTATGAAGAAAAGCAGAGAACTAAACTCAGGCATATCGCTGAGAGTCTGCAGTTTGGTTAAACCAGAGAGTTCCAATAAGAGGAACATGATCTTGAATTGAATTAGGCCAAGGTTAATGGAAATAACAGTAGAAACTAGCATTTATAAAGCACTTAATTTATAAATATATATTCAATTTAACCACAAGAAGGAGGGATGCTAGATGCCAGAAAGTAGGTATTGTTGTTCCCATGACTCAAAAGATTATGGGGCAAACAGATATCTCCAAAGTTTGTTGCGAGCTCTTAGTTACCAGAATCTAGCATGTTCTGACTTCCACATTTCATGATCTTTAACAGTACAAAAATAACTCCTTATCTTTAGTGAGTAATTATAATTCAAGAATTGCCTACTGTACAGAAACACAGGATTAAGGAGCAAAAGAAAGACATGACATCTTTCTAAATCAGAAAGATGAATCTGGCAACGAAAAGCAAGAGATTTATTTAAGAGGAATGAAGCAAGAAGCAGATTGACCAGAGGGGAAGGACAGTGGAGCACCTCCATCCAGAAGAGGCCTGTTGGGTAGCAAGCAGGCAGAAGCAAAGGAGAGGTATAATGTAATAAATAGAAATATCAAAATAAATAGAAAGAAATAAGTGGCTAGCTACCTGAGAGGGAAAAAAGAGAGAAGCAACAAATAGAGTACTGAGCTTTTACACTCTACTGACCAACAGATAAAGCAAATATTCATAGATAGAATAAAAGAAAAAGTTTCTTTTGAAAAAAGGAAAAACAGGTAAAGTTTAGATACGCAAGTTTGACAACACAGACATACAACACACTCCGATGTCAACAATAAGCTGGAGTTTAGGGAAAGTGAGAGACTATGGTGCCATCGCAGAGGTGAGGTCCATGCATTGGTGTAGACATGGGTTCTCCAGAGAAAAAGAAACAGAAAAATGAGGGCCTGTGACCTGAATTTAGAAGGAGGACTTCATTTAGAGAAGGTAATAAGGGAGAGGAAAAAGGAAGAAACTCTCAGAAGCCAATACAGAACAATAAAACATATTTCCCAAAGCTAGATAACAAATTTGATTTTAGAAAACCCAAGGATCATGTCTGAATGAATTAAAATCCTGATTTTTCCATATAATTTCAACAGGAATTATTAAGAAAATAGGAATATGGATCACCCAAAAGCACAAATTATCAGCCACATCCAGTGTTTGTAGATTATGGATCCAATTCCAAAAGGGACTCATAAATGAATTCTATAAATCACATAACAGGGACCCCCCACCTGCTTGAAAAGGTAGAACTTTTGCTAAATGTACTCTGCATTTCACTGTCTTCTCAAAGGATTAGAGAATGTACTTTTTAGACACGTTTTCCATGGTTTTTAAAACTCAGCCATTATTGGCAGTAGCCCGTTTTATTCCTTTTCTTTCATCTGTGCTCTTTAGTTATTAACTTTATTGAGACATAATGTATATATAACATAGTTCTCATCCATTTCAAGTATACAATTATTTTATTTATACAATTATGTTTAGTAAATTTGAAGATTTGCGCAACCATGACCACTATCCAGTTTTCATCACATGAGCAGGATCTCTCATACCCTCCACTCCACCCCCAACACCAGCAGACTACTCATCTACTTTCCGCCTCTACAGATTTGCCTGTTCTGGACATTTCACCTAAAGGCTATGTAATCTTTTGTGTCTGTCTGTCTTCTCACGCAAAACATTTTTGAGGTTCATCTATACGATAGCTGTATTTCATTTCTTTTCATTGCGTACTATTCCATCCTATTCCTATACCACAGTTTACTCATCTGCTCTCCAGTTGGCACTTGGCTCCTTCCTGCTCTTAACTCTCATGAATAATGCTATTATAAACAATCGCATACAAGTCTTTGCATGGGCATATGCTTTCATTTCTCTTGGCTAGATACCTAGATGTAGAACTACTGGATCATATCATACATTAACTTTTTAAGAAACTGCCAAATTTGTTCCAGAGTAGCTGTTTTAAATTCTTATCAGCAGTGTATGAGGGGTCCTATCTTTCTACACCCTCAGCAGCACTTGCTACTGTCTCTTCCAGACACAGCCATTCTGGTAGATGCCAGATGGTATGGCACTGTGGTTCTCATTTGAATTTCCCTACCAACTAATGATGTTCAGTGTCTTTCCATGTGCTCTTGGTGAAATGTCTAGACAAATCTTTTGACCTTTTTTAATTGGGTTGTGTTCTTCTTATTAAGAAGTTGTAAAAGTTCTTTGCATATTCTAAATAGAAATTTATCAGAAATGTAATATGCAAATATTTTCTCCCAGTCTCTTCTATGTCCTCCTTATTGGCCAACTGCTCTCTCTCTCTCTCTCTCACTGCAACTGTCAGTTGTAGTGAGTAAGGTATACATGAAGCCATCTGAAAAGAACAACCATACAACTTGGAAACAGAGAAACATAAAACTAAAAATGTGTTTATCAGGTAATTTCCTCGAAATGTTTTTTTTTTTTTTTGAGAAACTGGATTCAAACTTTTTAAGCTTACTGAAATCCAAAGATTATTATAAAGCCTAGAAAATTAAATGCTTCAGTCATTCTCCCCAGTAAGCTTTAATAAATAAAAAGAAAGCAGAGTTTTACCTTTTTGCCTTACATTAAAAATAAGGTAATGCTGGCACCCAAAAAGGAGGGACCCTAAGAACCTTAATCATTGCCTATGCTCCATTAACCAAAAAACACCTTCTAAATGCTGCTGTGTACCACATACTGAAGCTGTTCAAGGTGAGGTGAGGATAGACTGTCTAAACTCTCAAAAGAATGGATTTTGCATGGAGAGAATCACTGAAAAATTCAAAACCATTTTTTCTACCTCCTACCAAATCAAGTACCTTAGCTACATGTGATATTTGCAAACAGAAGAGAAGCGCCTCTCCACTTACTGTGAACTCTTACACATACTCCTGCCTTCCACGTGCCCTTTCCCTGCTGTCTCAGCACATTTGCAGGGACAAAAGTAACTGCTCATACCAGCCACAAGTTTGCTTTGTTCTTGGACAGAATGAGGTTATTTGGGGTCTCTTTAAGCAACATCAGTCCCACATGGTTTTATTTCATGAGAAACAGTGTGACTTCCCCTAATAGTAAACTGTTCCATAAGCACATTTTACTTCAGCTGCACTTTCCAGAACAGTTCCCAGGATTTCTGTTTTCTATGGTCACTACTGGATGGAAGCCAGAGAACAGAGAACAGATCCAGGTGCAGGGGAAGGGGTGGGGGAAATCATACTTGATAATATCCAACATCACAAGCACATAGGGTCTCAGCCAATCTTTATTAAGATGTGGTGAGGCATGTAAAGCTCAGAAAAGTTAAGGTATGTAGCCAAAGTCACCCACCAGACATAATTCCCAGAAGGGAATTATGAAACAGGGCAACTCTTGTGGGGCCCAGGTGTTCATATGCAAAGGACACATGCTTTCTGAATCGTGAAGCAGTTTCTTGAACTGAAAAGACTAAAATGTTGTATGTTCAAATTCCTTCCCAAATGATTTTTCCCCCATTTTTCTTTCTCTCTCTAGAAATCAAACCAGGAATAACCTATGCTGAACCCACGCCTCAGTCATCCCCAAGTGTTTCCTGACACGCATCTTTGCTTACAGTGCATCACGACTGAAGAATGGGGCTCAACTGGACACTTGCAAAATTACCAAGTAAGCCATCAGAAGAGATGCAAAGAAAATCTTACTTTATCAATGAATATTATTTATACTGTGTGGCAATTTGCGGAGTTTAATGGTCAGAGAACCAATGAACAAAATAAACCAGTAGTTAGCTAAGCATTTCCCTAGGTATAAAAGAGCAAACATGCAGGATGGCATTGCTGAGATAAATGCAGCTTGCTATCATTTCGTTTTAAACTTTGTTTCATCTAGACATCTCTAAAATGACAAGTAGGATTAAATTAATATTTGTGGAATATTTTCAAACACAAACTAAAATTACATATTACTTTCCAGATTTAATAGTCTAAACCAAGGTTCACAAGGTTCCCCAAGCGGCCAGAGACAACATCTACCTAGTCTACTGGGTAACTATTTAGAAATAATCACACCTAAATATAAAAAATTAGCCAGGTATGGTGGCGCATATCTGTAGTCCCAGCTACTCGGGAGGCTGAGGCACAAGAATCGCTTGAACCCAGCAGGCAGAGGTTGCAGTGGAACAAGATCACACTACTGCACTCCAGCCTGGGTGACAGAGCAAGACTCCATATCAAAAAAAAAAAAAAAAAGAAAATGATCATACCTAGACAGCTGTGCCATGGTAGTGACACCCTATAATTTGAATGCCTTTTATTATTTCATTCCCACCTGGCAGGTAGAGCAATGACATATGTTGATACTTTCACATTTTGTGCCAAATGACACATCCTAGTGAGCAATGGTGTCGCTTCACCAAAGGCCAAAGTGGCAGATTCTTCCCCACTCTTTCTTCATTCACAGTATGACTCTATTAATACAATAAATGATGATTAAGCTTTACATTATAGAATGAACATCTACTAAGTACTACACACTGTACTCAAAATAATGTTTACAATGTATTTGTCTCTCAGAAGATCCAGCAAAATTAACTATGAGTTCCATTTTACAGTTATTAACAGGCTAAACCAGCACTGTCAAATAGAACTTTCTGCATTGATGAAAATTCCCTATATCTGCACTGGCCAATCCAGTAGCCATATGTGGTTACTGGGAAATTTGAACATAGCTAGTATTACTGAGGAAATTAATTTTTTAAATTATGCTTAATTATTAAATTTAAATTTTTAAAGACACACGTGGTTTGTGCTCTATCTGGCTATAAAGCCCAAGCCTTCCCCCAATACACACTTACTCCTGCACACACACATACACAAACCTGTTTCCCCTACAAAGACAGCCACAGTTCCCTTATGTCCCAAACATATACACCCTCACACATGGCACAAAATACACATGGCACAGATACACCCTCACACATGGCACAAAATAATTTGCTATGGAACTAGTAAATTGAGTTCTTATGTCACTGCATTTGTTAATTTAAAAGGAACTGAAGTGAGAGTGGGAGAGAATAACAAAGGAGGTTTTACTCTCAATTATCACTGTGTCAAGCCCTGCACTATACAATCCAGGGAATACCACCCTAGTAAACAAGAAGGGATGGGGAAATCACGTTTGATAATATCCAACATTGCACGCACACATTGTGAGAAAATAGCCTTTACACTGCTTCCAATTTTTCTTAAATGAATTACCAAGCTACTATCAACTAAAGAGTTCCCTAACTTGGCAAAGTTCATTACTGGCAGGTAAGAACAACATGAAAAAAATGCCTAGGTGAAGAAAGTCATTTACTTTTAGTGGTCAACGTTCCTGAGCAAAAACATCATATAGAGAAATGCTTCTGAGTACACTCGTAAGTTTTAGAAATATTTGTGGCAATAATAGAGAAGAGAATAAATGATAGGCATAGCTGGCAAAAAATAATATGATACAGACTTAATTCCAAAAACCAAATTAATCACATGAAACTCTCAAAGTTAAATTTTGAGACTTCCAATCAGTTGAGCAATGGCTCATCTGCTTCTTAGAAATCATTTTTTGTCTCTACTACCATATTGTTTCACCAAATAACCCATAACAGGCTTTAACCACTGATTTGTTTGAGCTGCGCAGCAAATGTGTAATTTGTGAATAAGGTAATAAACAGACCTAGGGCTTTATCATTGAATTAAGAAGTCCATAGTTTTAAATGTTAATCCTACACATAAACTAAGGAAGCAATACAATGAGATTGCACAGCCAAGAAGTTCAACACTGGAGTGTCTCAAAGCCACAAAACAGTTCAATAACCACTGTGGAAAGAGGCCAATCCTACTTGATCTTTCTACTTTACAAACACACACACACACACACACACACACACACACACACACACCCCTTTTTTGACATTCTGATTTGAGACTCTCATAATAACTACAATTGTTAGGCAAATCATTTTAACATATAAAGCTTCATTTAATAAGAATGTGTGCTCATATAATTAAACTTTAAAATATTAGGATACACTGAACTGATAGGCAATCCCTAAGCAACACTGTGGAGCAGGGGTTCCTGCACTCCACGACAGACATGCACAGCAGCTCTCCAGGGAGCCAACACCAGCAGTTGAAATGTTCCCTGCCATGTGTGCTGTAGCTCGTCAACTATTTATATTTGTATTTAAAATGATTTTGGAAAGCAATTCATGAGTCATTGTTACAAAGCACAGCCATCACTACAGGATATGACATGGCTGCTCCTTTTCAGGCTGTGTTCCTCAGCTGGACTCTTTATTCTGATGTAAACTCACAAGTCCTCTATTTCCCTAATGGTTCTATCCTAGGTTAGACGAAAGTGACTGCTAATAGTTTAATTGGGTAAATTAATTCAAGCAGACATCTTAACTCAGTTAAAGCCACACATCTTAAGAAGCTCCTAATGTCACTGATACTGATTTGGATCTTATGATGCAAAAACAAACAAGACTATAACATATCATTATATCAAAATAGGCTTGAATGATACTATACAAGGAAATATTAGAAAGTGGCAGCAGTAATAGAGATGGCTGCTGAATCAGGCATTTTAACTTGTAAAGCTTAGTAATACTATGGGTCTCATAACAGGCTAGTCCAGATATAAATTACTAGCCTGTGTAAAGATAGTTGGGCCAGGGAAACCAGTTTTTAAAAACACTCATAGCAAAGAATAAAAGGGAAAGAATTAGGAAGAGGGCAAGGTTACTTAAGAAGAGCCTGCACTTAGACGTCAAGCAGCAATTCAGAAATTTGTTTTTGGATTTTAATCATCAAAATTTTCCTGTTTCTCTCCTCAAAGAAGGGAACCAAAACAGATACTAAACTGCCTGTGTGCAGGGCAGGGAAGGCTTAAATTCATGGTGTTACCTCTGTAACAAAACCATTCCAAAACATAGTTATAACTATAGTAAATATTAATTAGAGGGAAGTAAAAAATTCAGAAATGACTTTCCTTCTAACCTTACATCCAAAAGGTGAATTTATAAATTAATTCCATTAGTTCAGGTTCTCCAAAAATAATGATGATAAAATGTGCTTAAAGGGTCAAGAGATTTATTGGGGAAAATGGCTACCAAGGCAAATGGGGACAAGCAGAAGGCTGGCAAAGCCTTCCAACTACTTGTGGGAGAAAGAAGGAAGAAATGCTTAGTAGGAACAGTATGGTTTGAAGAAAGCTCAAAGAAAAGGTTTGAAGACTGGTAAGTACTCCTCCGGCCAAAGTCTTTTGTCAGAGAAACCCCTCTCTTGCAAAAACAGTATGTCTTGGTATCCCTGCCATGCTCAGTTACAGGCCGGGAGCGGTCCATGGGAAGCATGGCAGCCGCAGGCATGTGGCAGTGGATCCACAGCAGGAGCTGCCTGTCCGTCATGCTCCCCACAGTAGGAGACGTGAGAGGCTCATTTCCACGGCTGCCACATAAGTCAAACGCTTATAACCCATTTCACTGATTACATGATGCAGTGACATGGTACAGGTCTTTAACAACAGAAACTAAAAATTCTAAAAAAAGGTTTAAAAATTCCTATAATAAATACAATCGATATAACCTAGCCTTGTAAACAAGAAAATTATGCCAGGATGCAATTATTTTTAACAAGTTGTCCTCCTTGGCAATCAACTGTAAAATGGCAAAACATAGTACGAATGAGAAAACAAAATCAGCATTTCTCACTGGACCATACAAAAACATATTTGTGAATATTCTTGACTATACAAATGCATTTTAATCAAAAATTTACTAGATCATGTATAAATATTTATAATAATCAGCAGTAACTTCAAGCTAGCCTAAAACTTAAATTCTACTAAGGTGAAAACAGATTTCAGAGAATCAGCAAGTCAGATCTATACCTATCCAGGACTTTCTTTGTTCACTTTAGAAGACAGATTTTCTTTTTATTTACAAAAATGCCTAGACATTTTCTTTCTATTCCTATCAATGGTCCCTATAATATCTTAAAAGTACTGTAAGAAAGTCATAGGCAAAAAATTCAAAATGACCCACTAATTTTATACTTTCTTAATTTTCAAAGATTAAACAGCTTAAATATGATCCACTAGTTTTACACCTTCTTAATTCTATTTTTTTTTTTTTTTTTGAGACGGAGTTTCACTCTTGTTACCCAGACTGGAGTGCAATGGCGCGATCTCGGCTCACCGCAACCCCTGCCTCCTGGGTTCAGGCAATTCTCCTGCCTCAGCCTCCTGAGTAGCTGGGATTACAGGCACACACCACCATGCCCAGCTAATTTTTTGTATTTTTAGTAGACATAGGGTTTCACCATGTTGACCAGGATGGTCTCAATCTCTTGACCTCGTGATCCACCCGCCTCTGCCTCCCAAAGTGCTGGGATTACAGGCTTGAGCCACCGCGCCCGGTTACACCTTCTTAATTCTTAATGATTAAACAGCTTCAGACCTACACCATATCACTGCATCATATAATCAGTGAAATGGGTTATGAGCATTTGATTTATGTGGCAGTCATGGGTGGAGGAGAAGATATATTCGAAGAGAGTGCCAAAGAATACACAGAAACATGTGCTGGCTATTTTATTTTCTTGTTATAAAAAAATTCAATTTTCTGTCCATATTTTGTTGATTATATTTGTAATGACATTGAACGTGGAAGTATCAGGATAATTTACAATGGTATGTTTATTTTCAAAAGGCTGGCGTAGGGAATCAGAAATGGGACTTTTTACTCAAGGGTCCTGATACAAGGGAGGCAGGATAGTAAGAAGAGGTCACCAATTCTTTGGCCACTCAAAACATTAACAACGTGCTAACTTCACTCTTTAAATCATTGATGACATCTTTAAGTTCACCTGAAATAACAAAAAGTTGGGTCTATAAGGGAGCCTAGCGGCCTGTGGGCACACTTGCCAAGCACTGAAGTCCCATCTCCCCACTTCTCCTACAGATAACGAGCTGCACGGCCAAGAGAGTCACAACTCAGGCAACAGGAGCGATGGACCAGGAAAGAACACCACCCTTCACAATGAATTTGACACAATTGTCTTGCCGGTGCTTTATCTCATTATATTTGTGGCAAGCATCTTGCTGAATGGTTTAGCAGTGTGGATCTTCTTCCACATTAGGAATAAAACCAGCTTCATATTCTATCTCAAAAACATAGTAGTTGCAGACCTCATAATGACGCTGACATTTCCATTTCGAATAGTCCACGATGCAGGATTTGGACCTTGGTACTTCAAGTTTATTCTCTGCAGATACACTTCAGTTTTGTTTTATGCAAACATGTATACTTCCATTGTGTTCCTTGGGCTGATAAGCATTGATCGCTATCTGAAGGTGGTCAAGCCATTTGGGGACTCTCGGATGTACAGCATAACCTTTACAAAGGTTTTATCTATTTGTGTTTGGGTGATCATGGCTGTTTTGTCTTTGCCAAACATCATCCTAACAAATAGTCAACCAACAGAGGACAACATCCATGACTGCATGAAACTTAAAAGTCCTTTGGGGGTCAAATGGCATAAGGCAGTCACCTATGTGAATAGCTGCTTGTTTGTGGCTGTGCTGGTGATTCTAATCGGATGTTACATAGCCATATCCAGGTACATCCACAAATCGAGCAGGCAATTCATAAGTCAGTCAAGCCGAAAGCGAAAACATAACCAGAGCATCAGGGTAGTTGTGGCTGTGTTTTTTACCTGCTTTCTTCCATATCACTTGTGCAGAATTCCTTTTACTTTTAGTCACTTAGACAGGCTTTTAGATGAATCTGCACATAAAATCCTCTACTACTGCAAAGAAATGACACTTTTCTTGTCTGCGTGTAATGTGTGCCTAGATCCAATAATTTACTTTTTCATGTGTAGGTCATTTTCAAGAAGACTGTTCAAAAAATCAAATATCAGAACCAGGAGTGAAAGCATCAGATCACTGCAAAGTGTCAGAAGATCAGAAGTTCGCATATATTATGATTATACTGATGTGTAGGCCGCCTACTGCTTGATGGAATCAATATGTACAAAGTGTAAATACATGTTTCTTTTCATTATCCTTGTTTGAGCCCCTTAAAAATATGAATTCAAAGAATTAAAATGATGTGAAATGGGGTCATTATTTGGAACTAAAGAAAGCATTAAGGCATAGCAAAAAGAGATGAACAGGAGGTAGTGCACAGCTGAATGAAAGGGCTAATGGCTGGAAGTCTGAAGAGCAGAGTGAAAGGGCTGAAAGAGCCACAACAATGTCCCTGGACTGTGGTCATCCTCCAGGAAAAGGTGCTGCTCGGAAGCCACTTTCGCAGAGAATAAAAAGTATAGAAAAGAGAATTCTATCTATCGTTGATGTTGAAGGATAGGGAAAGAAAATACTACTTTCAACACTGTTCATTTACTGCAAATATAACTTAGTAAACATCAGTTACTAAGCCTTCCATCTTTCCGTCTATGAACGAAGATCTTTGGCGATCATCTCCTCATTCTCTTGGTGGGTTGTTTTTTTTTTAATTTTTTTTTCCTTTACTTACCACTATAGAAATGAGGATGGATGGGGTGTGTGTGTGTGTGTGTGTGTGTGTGTGTGTGTATGTAAGTGCTTCAGTTTTAGGACCCTCTGTGTCCAGGTCAGAGCCCACCTTCAGGGCTCCCAAAGCAAATAGGAATGGGCTTTGGAAATGCTTCTGCCTCCTCTCCCTGCTTCATGCCTTACCCCCACTCCTGTGATGCTCCTGTGATACTACCTTTCATTCCTATGGTAAGAGACTATCCTCCAGCAATGTAAATACCTCCTCGGGGACACATTAACAGAAGAGGAGTGAAGGCATGTTTGCTGACTAAAAGAAGATTATTATGGTTAACAGTCAAACATACGTGAATAAACCGCAAAGTTCTAAGAAGCCCAAATAAGCAAAAATGAGAGCACAAGAATAACTTAGTTCAACAATGACTATCATGGCCAAGTACAGGAAAAGGACTCAGGGACTACAAAGTATCTTACTCTGTGTCTAGTATGTTACTCTAAGTCAATCAGGCTTGGCAGAGAGGCAAAGGCGTTAAAAGGATTATCTGAGGACTTCTATCAAAATATCTGTCTCTCCACCAAGATTCCAACTCTATAAACGCAATGGATACCTAAGTGCATAAATTTATATATACCTCACTTGGTCAGTTGCATAGCTAACCCTGCCCTCAATTGTGTGTCATTAGCTAGATTAAGATAGTCATATTTTAGATCAGCTAATTAAGAAAAGACAGTGTGAAAGGCCAGTTCCTTTTTCCACTTTCCCCAAAAAGGCATGGGTAAATTACAGCTTCCCTATATAAAAAGGAGAAGAGTAAGCCAGGCCCGCAGTGGCTCATGCCTGTAATCCCAGCACTTTGGGAGGCCAAGGTGGGTGGATCACCTGAAGCCGGGAGCTGGACACCAGCCTGGCCAACATGGTGAAACCCTGTCTTTCCTAAAAATACAAAAATTAGCCGAGTGTGGTGGCACATGCCTGTAATCCCAGCTACTTGGAAGACTGAGATAAAAGAATCTCTTGAACTCGGCAGGTGGACGTTACAGTGAGCCGAGATCACGCCACTGCACTCCAGCCTGGGCAAAAAAGCAAAACTGCATTTAAAAAAAAAACAAAAGGAGGAGCAATATTGTGGCTGGGAAAATACCTTCAGTACAACATGTCCTATCCTCTCCATCCTCTGTCCCTACCACACCACAGATCCCAGTCAATAATCTCAAAAATACTATTATCTGCTTCTCTACTTACATATGCTATTAAATATATGATCTCTTTAACTCAACTGGCTCCATTCAGCACTGGAGTTCAGCTCTGGAGTTCTAGATCAGCTAATTAAGAAAGGGCAGTTTGAAAAGCCAATTCTTTTCTCCATTTTCCCCATAAAGCCACAGGTAAATTATAGCTTCCCTATATAAAAAGGAGGAGCAGGCTGGGCACAGTGGCTCACGTCTATAATCCAAGTACTTTGGGACTCTCTACCCCATATCTCATTTAACCCTTTTATTCAGACCTTAATTCTAAGAGGTCTTCAAAACATTTAAATCCCACTTTAATGTTTCTAAAATTAGACTGCTATATAGTTAGTGGGCACATTTAATATGATGGTAGCTTTATTTCTCTTACATGACATTATCACATCAATGGAATATCTTGAAACATTGCCTAAAAACACAGAGAACATTATCATCCCATTAAAAAAATCATATTAAAAAAACCCATCAATATCACACTGCTTATATTTCATACTAGTTCCCATGCTGTGGCATGAAAAATATTTATACAGGCTAATCAAGAATGAATCATTTACATGAGCAAAATAACATCAATAGGAATAATATATGAGGTTAGTGTCAGAAATAACATGATACTCTATTAAAGTTGAAGAAAATAATTATATTTGATTCCTTCTTCAAAATTAGCATTTGGGAATTTTTTTGAAATCCAAAATTTCTTACCTAGGGCTTTTGAATTACATTCAGTATTTCCCAATCCTCCCAGAAAGCAATAAATAGTGTATTTATTCTTCCTTTTATGCAGAAGAGGAACATATTCAGAGAATTTCCAAAAGGAAATTTTTTTCTTCTTCATAAAACTGACATTCAGAGAAACTGATCTTGTAGAAAATCTTCAATGTGTGTGTTATTGTTATATTCATTAAACCACTTCATAAATATTTTATTCTCAATTTGAAATAGTATGATAGTATTTTGTTTCTCAACCAAAGTTTCAAGAGAATGGTGCCTAGGGGAATGTATAAATTTAAATACTTACATCAAAATTTTTGTGTCTGTGTAAACATACAAACAAGAGAATGAATACAGCTTAAACATCAAGAAATTTCATAAACACCATGAGGAAATATGATATACTAGAAAAAAAATAAATTAAGAAAACAAGGATAAAATAAAGCTTAGGGACCATTTAAATCTTATAAAGATTATCCCCAGACTCAACACCACAAGAAGCCAAGTAACAAATCAATAAAACACTAAGCACATGCCATATAAAAAGATATTGTGCTCAGCATGATATATAAAAGAATCTCTGGATACCCCTAAATGACTTCTAAAATTAAATACTTAAGAACAAACATTTTCGATTTTCAACATAATACAAGTATCATAGCAGATGCCGAATTCAGCACACTCCCCAGTCCTCTATCACCATCTAGTGGTAAAATTCACAAAATAGGCAAAGAAAATTCAATTTTTGTCCTATTTACAGCATTTGAATACACAGTAACACAATCTAGCACTTCGTTACAGTTTTCCTTTAAATATCCTTATTAATGCTAATGTATACAGATGTGTATTCTACAGCTGCCTAGTTTAATGTAATATGGAAATTATTGACAAGAATGGTTAATGTCATCAAGGAGTTTTGTTACAGATGTTAAAAAAAACTAAAACTAAAAAGACTAAAACATGAATTTCATAAGAAAATGCTACAAATAATGACTGCTCTTTCTAAATTAACTTTAGAAAAATTTTAGAAATGTATAATTTATGGTTTCAAAAGTATACAAAATCATCACTAGAATTGAACAGGGAGAAAAAAACTCAGTGTGTTAAAAATAATTTTCCATCAACTTATTAAGAAACTCATGAGATTCATTTTGAATAAAACTTTCATTCTGAATAATTTTAAAAGTCTTCTTATAAGCCACAATGATAAGAAATCATCTAAAATTATAAAAATGAAAAAATGATATGACCCTGAGACACACACATCTCTTTTTATCCTTAACTGGAAACTCAAGATACAGAACTAAATTGGAAATTCCTTTTATTTTACTTTAGGCAAACATTCTTAATAAAAGCAAACTGGCCTCAAACAGTTAATGCAAACATTCTTAATCAAAGTAAACTAGCCAACTTCTCTTTGAATTATGTTTCAGTACAGGTGGGCGCAGTGGCTCATGCCTGTAATCCCAGCACTTTGGGAGGCCAAGGTGGGCAGATTACAAAGTCAGGAGTTCGAGAACAGCCTGGTCAACATGGTGAAACTCCATCTCTACTAAAAGAATAAAAAATTAGTTGGGCATGGTGGCATGTGCCTGTAATTCCAGCTACTCGGGAGACTGAGACAGGAGAAATGCTTGAATCTGGGAGGCGGAGGCAGAGGCTGCAGTGAGTTGAGATCATGCCACTACACTCCAGCCTCCAGCCTGGTGACAGAGCAAAACTCTGTCTCAAAAATAATAATAATTATTATTATGTTTCAGAATATTCAGAGGTTGTAGTCTGGGCAGACTCCCCAGCAACTCCTAGAATTGGCCCATACATCTGCTTTAATCAGCCTATGAACAAGAATCTACAAATAGATACCAGATTCCCCAAGTCTCCAAGTCTATGTGTAAGTTTAAATGTTAACATTTCCAACATTCTGGATATATTTACATAAATACATATGCAGACAAACACATAGCATGTATAACTGGGGCTAACAAGTTTAGCATAAAGAATGTAAATCAGCCCCTTAACCTATTATAGCTTTTAAACAGTCTTAAGAAACTGTATCCAATGCTTAAGATGGTTACTGCTAGCTTAAAGCAAAACATCTTTTCTAACATAGAAAGCTGTGTGTCAGTTATATCCAGCAATGAATTACCTCTACGTATTTTTCAAAAAGCCTGAACACCATACCATGGTCTTTGAATAGTTCTTGACTTCATCTCAGTATATAACTTATAATACAGAGTGAGTATCTTTTTCTATGCCTTATAGAATTGTCATGTTCCTTTGTAAGTTTGAGCCAAATTCCAACATTTTATCCTTTGTGCTTTCAATGTTGTGAAATATTTCAAGAATTCCTTAACTGTAAAGTTTCTTGTAAGCATCACTTTCTCTAGAACATCTGATCTATTCATTGCAGATATTAATAACTTTGCCTGGACTAACTTCATCTAATAGCATATTGTAGAGATTTAACCTTCCTCTGGTTAACTATTTCTTTTGTAATTCCATATGCCTGTGATTCAAATTTTACTTCCTTATTATCACTTGTCATTTCTCTCTGGAACTTTCATTTTTGTTGGCAT